AAAAACAAAACGGGAACAAATACAATATTTGTATTTGCATGTGGCCCGCGGGCCGTAGTTTGAGGACCCCTGCTCTAGCTCAACAATAATATCAGAGGTGTTAGTTTCCAGTCTGGAAAAGAGCCAGCCCACCACATTCAACACAAACCATCTTACCTGCTTTGGACATGAAGCTTCACCATCCCACTCTTTCTCCTCAGCAAACCGGAACTGTGAGAAGGAGTCCCCTAGAAATATAAAAAACACACAACTTTATGGAAAAGCCCAAGAAAAACACTCAGTTCTCTAAACTCCCCTGGCAGGATGGGATGAAAGTGCCAGTTCTGAAGAGCCAACCATCCTGATCTCAGTGGTACAACGGGAGTCTCTGGCTTCCACGTCATTGCACAGCGACCTGTGCATGGTGCGCACGTGAAATATTGTTAGAACCTGCACTTACTGCTCCATTCAGCTCTCAGTAAACCACCATCCTACATGCTCCATAAGAGACAACAAAACAGTTCAGGCCATCGACCCATATTTAGCATATTTCATCTGCTTAAGGCAAGCAAGGAAAATAATATTTATGATTTGGGGGGTGGGCACAGCAGAAAAGGAAGGAGAAAAATAGGAATGAAGGAAAGAAGTCTAGCCTGATCCACAATATGAAACTTAAAATCTCTCTCTGAGGTGAGGTTTGAACCTCTATCATCATGCCAAAAATCACCTGCTTTAAATAACTACTATAGTACTTTAAAAAATGAGTGTTTTTATAGAATTCTAGTTATTCTAATAATGATAGCATCAGAAAAATAAATATACCAACACTTTATTTATAATACCCATTATTCTGCCTAACTTCTTACATTGGTCTAACACGTCTTATGATCAATGGCAACGTGGACACTAAACTTGTTAGAATTCTGCAGTACTATGCTTTCTAAAAGCTTAATCATAGATAACACGTCTTTGAATTTTAAGCTTACCCTTTCAGCCCCATCAGCAAAAGGCTTTCTGCCAAGCAAAAATACTTAACATGACCACACTCTCCAATGGAAGTTAAGATGGGGTTACAAGGAATAATCTTTATGTGGGCAAAGAGAAACCTGCAAAGACTTTCAGCTTCGACAACACAGACTTAGGTGTATATGAAGAGTAAGTGTGAACAATGGAAAATGTGCCCCAACTAATAATATCCAGTTCCAATGATAGGGTAGTGACCATTCCCATAAATGACATCTGTCCTAGATATTTGGATCTTTTTCTAACAAAACTGGCCCAGATCTTTGTGGTACATTCTTTTAGAAACCAATTCTAGAAAGCAAGAGGAATGTATCACTAGTCCTGGATGAGTATTTCACTGTCAGCTCCATGTTCTTAGCCTTTCTTTATCATAATCACCTTCCTTTATTTCCCCCACAGCCCTTGAAATATGCCCTCAACCAGGGCACCATGTCCCTGGGAAAACACAAACAAACTTTGTAGGTTGACAAGTTCACAATCTTCATTAAAAAAAGAATATGATACGAGACTCAGAGGAGGTGCAGTGCGGAAAATACAAAGGTGCGGAGGTACGCGCGGAGCGGGCTGGTAGCTGAGGGCGCGGTTGGCGTTTTCAATCCGGAGGGAGTCTCAGATTCTGAGCTCCAGTTCTGGGCAAGTGTCTAGGGACCCAGACTCAAACGGGAGAAGCTCCCTCCACTGGCATCGGTCGGAACGCCAGGGCAGCTTTCTCTCTGAGATTTGCAGCGATTGCTGGGACTCTGGAGGCAGCCTCTGGGAATAGGACTGAGAGCAGCCATAACTGCTCCCTCCACCCGCTCTGTTGATCCCCTGTGACCCACCCGTCCAGCCCAAGCCCTGCGCAGAGCCATTTGCCAGATAGCCTCAGGCAAAGACTAGATTAGCACCTCCCTAAAGGACAGAAGTTTTACTACTGCAGACACAGCTGATTCTCACAGCCAATTGGCCTGGAGGTCAAATCCCCCTAGTATTAACTACAACGATCAAGGCTTAACAAGACTGTGCTCAAAGC